CACACACACACACGCACACACACACACACACCTTTTCAAATAAGTATAAAGCATAGAATGATGTAGAGTTCTCTTTATTATATTACAACCGCACATGAAAAACTCTAACTAAAATTCTGAGGAAATAAACTTTGTCTACTCTATAAAGTTTCCATAACCATCACTGGGAGAGCCATTGCCTACATAATATTCTTTTCACAGCATCTTTCACATCTCTATTTCTCAGACTGTATATTAATGGGTTCAGCATGAGTATTACAAGTGTGTAGAACACAGCTACGATCTTGCTTTTCTCTGGTGAGGAGATGGCCCCGGGTTGGGCGTACATGACGAACATAGTTCCATAGAATAAACTCACCACTGCGATATGGGAACCACAGGTGGAGAACGTCTTACTCTTGCCATGGGTGGAGGGGATCTTCAGGACCGTGGAGAGGATGTACCCATAGGAAACCAGAATGGCAGTTGTGGTGGACACAATGATGAATGCGGAGAGAATAAACAGCACAGTCTCATTCACAGAGGTGTCAGCACAGGAGATCTTGATCAGAGCTGGAACATCACAGAAAAAGTGGTCCAGCCTGTTTTCTCCACAGAATCGCAAGCTGAAAGTGAAACTTGTTTTTACCATGGAGTTGATGCACCCACAGATGTAGGAGCCAGTTACCAACTGAACACAGACCTTCTGGGACATGTGCACAGGGTAAAGCAGAGGTGAACAAATGGCTGAAAATGTACCAAATGCCATGACAGCAAGAAGAAGGGCTTCAACTGTGACAAGCAGGGCAAAGAAGAAAAATTGGGCAGCACGGCCATTGTATGAAACTTTCTTTTCACTGGTCAAGAAGTTGGCTAAGGTTTTGGGAGCAATGATGGTGGAATAGCAGAGATCTAGGTAGGACAATTTTCTAAGGAAGAAGTACATAGGGGTCTGTGGTCTGGAGTTCTTAATAACAATGATCATGCTGACAGTCCCCACTACAGTGACCATGTAGATCATCAAGAATGCTAAGAATAAGAGGAGCTGAAGCTTTGGGGGGACTCTGAACCCCAGCAGGATGAACTCAGTCACCTCTGAGTAGTTCCTATCCAGCCCACTCTTCATAGATGGTGTCTTTGTAGAACTGGAGGGATGCTAAGGATGAAACGCATGAGTGATCAGAATATTGTTTTAGTAAAAGCAACTGGATGGACAGCATGGAAAATAAAGTAGTTTATTATATTGCCCAACTTTTTAATAGGGAACATACAGAATGTAGCATTATTTTCCCGTTTCTTTAACTAATAAAAAGTTAATTTAGGTTGCTAAATCTTTTCTGATTAGTTTATCTGTAAGTAGTGCAGATTAGGGAAATGGAGAATTGCAGAATGGAGGACTTTGCTTTTAGATCTTCCTACGTTTTATCACCAGTTTATTGCCATTGGAATTTGCCTCCCTAGAGGAACATATTACTCATGACATTACAGTCAGTTTCTGAATGTGTAGTTCACTGAAAATACACCAGAATTTTAGGATGAGGACGCTGAATTCAATTGATCTGCTTATTTTATTTTAATGTATATTCAAACATCATATTACCATAGAAAAAGAAGCATATATCATTATCTGACTTTCACATTTATGACCGAAGTTGTTAGATATAAAAGCTTCACTCTGTGTGCACTAACCTCACATCAGTAATTTTTTTCATTATTTTTCCCCTCTGAGAACTTAGTGACACAATTAATCTGCTAAGAAAGGCAGATGTCTTTATGTTTTCAAACCCTCTCTTCCCTTCCACCTGCCTTCCTGTGTCCTTCTCTCCTCTTCCTCTTTCTCCCCTCCTTCCTTCTATCTTATTTATATATAAATGAAAGTGGACAGTTCTAAAACTTTGGGCAGAGGTATTTATTTTCAGCAGTATGTTTAATTTTTAAGTAAATACAAAATAAGTTCACGTGACTCAAAATACAAGGTACATAGGACAATTTGAAGATGACTACAAATAAATTTAAAAAAAGAAATATCAGCTCTTTCTCACCCAGCAGTAATCAGCTGCCAATAATTCTTTGACTAAATTTTGTGCTCGTTTTTTGTCTGCTCGAGTTTGCACAGGTCTTGTGCATGCTGACACCATTGCTGTAGGGTCATGTGAGTAAGGTCCCAAGAGCTTGTAGGACTCTATTCCCATAGGTCATGCACTTCCTCCCTGAATCTTACAATCTTTCTAAATGGTCCCTGAGCCCTGTTTGAGTAGAGTTTACTATCAGAGTCCTGTTCAAGGATCTTCTTAAAGGGAAGGGTTCTAGATAGGCTGACTAGGCCCCAGTGGATAAACTTGTACTGGGGGATGTCTGGGGACACTGCCTTGACAGGATAGGTCTTAGCACAAATGACAGATTATATGAATTCTAGGGGATCTATGGGAGGGGGGCAATAGGGAAGGAGGTATAAAGATGATTAAAATGTTCTGTATGAAATAGATAATTCATTAAA